CCCCCCCATCTTTTGTAATTCACCAGCTTTCTCAGGGACTCAGCAGTGTACAGCTCCATTAGCTCCATTAGCCCCAGCCATCACCGATGTCTAATCTTACATTATGAAGAGTAGAATGGAGTAACACTCATCATTGGTAGGACACCAGCAGGAAGGTCTAAGAAAACAGCCCTCCAGCATCCTCTGATAATTGAAATCTCAGCGTTAGGCGGGTTAGGCTCCTTCAAATGGAGTAAATAACTCGGCCTTTCGCTACCCTACATCTGTGAATGACAAGTGAAAACCGATCCCCAGTTCTCAGCATGTCACAGGAAAAGAAATCCAGACTTTTTGCATATGCTGTTTTGCCTATGAAGCTCTGGATGGTCCTGCAGTTGCCAAGTATTTTCATAGTAAACCCATCAACATCCAAACTAAGTCAGAAAGTTACAAAAAAGGCACACACTGAAATTCCCCTATAATTGTAAATACCTACATTGCCCAAACTATTCTATGTATAGAGTACAGAGTCCACTCACTGCCTGTCAATAGGCTACTCTGGCACTGCCTTGCGGGAATTATATAAAAAAGGTTATATAATTAGCACATATGCGCACACTATATTCCACCTGCTTGCCCCGAACCCTTTCATACGTATAGAAACAGCAGGAGGAAGAACTATCTCCAAATGTAGGGCGTATGAAAGGGATGTAGCAAGCAGCCTGGGTAACAGGAATGAAGGCATTATCAGTATGGGCCAGGAGAAGCAAACTGGAGCCTGCCAGCTGTGGTGCAACCACAAACCCCATTAGGCATTGCAAGAACGACAGGCACAGGCATGACTCCCAGAGGCACATGCACAATGAGATTTGTAGTTTCACCAGAGCTGGAGGGCCGAGGTTGCCTACCCCTGGTATAGGCTCAGACTGTTCTGCATCATCTGAAGATGAAACGGGCTGTTCTCATCACTGGCTATAAAGCAACCTACAAGACTAAAAACAACAACAAAAAAGTCTGCACCCTGCCCAAATTATGCTACACAAGGCAGGCACTCTAAACTAAGCAAACTGCCCAGGCACCTGCTCATCAGCTCCCAATGCCAGTAAGAATGAACATGCAAGCCAAACCTTTATGAAACTGGCTCCTGTGTTCACGCATAACCTGCAATCTGTTGGATGATTGTCTACTCTGCTACTTCATGACAAGCAGTCAGACTGCAGCGTATTCTCCTGCATGAGAACAGCGGTAAGGGTGCCCTCAGGAGCCACACAGATAGGTATCTGGGTCCCCACTTCATGAATTTAAAATACCAAAGTCTCTTTAAACTAGAAGGAAGTACTGCAAGCAACTTGTAGCCGATCAGATGCTGGAAGCATTTTTCCCCCCCCATCACTCCCCTGTGAAGTTACATTTACATTTCAATGATCAGTACATGCTAAAAGCACAGAAACAAATTAACAGGAAGGTGGCTTACTTGTGGCTGCCACTGTGCCGGTGATGGTGGTGATGATGGTGGTGATGTTTCGGATGATGTTGGTCTTTCTCAGTGAGGGAAGAAGAAGAGGAGTTGGAATGGGTGGAGCCCAAACTTTTGCGCTGCTCCTTAGTCTTCTGAAGAACTCTTTTGTAGGACAGCGTGCAAAGCCAACAGAGGAGCTTCCCATCAACCTATACAAAATGAAATGTCAAGTCAATGCTCTAGCCAATACAACACTGATCAGCAGAGAACCATATTCTGGAAGGCACTCCAATAACCATTCTAATAATGCCACGGATGCTAAAACTGGCTTCAGAGAAGACAGTTACCTTAAAGTAACTGTGTAGGCAAAGTGGGATAACACCAATGAAATGCTGAAACTACCATTTTCAGAAAGAGGTCTGCAACAGCAGCCTCCATATTCCTCCAATGAAAGCTTTTCTTTTAAGTAAAAGGCAGTTTTAAGTGATATCTCTGGAGTTCGATCTTATAAATGCATTCAAATACCACCAACTATTAACAAAAATGTATCTTATTTGTATATTGCTCGGCTGGCGATCCTCAAATCATCTCTGAATTGGTGCGGACACTGTCCTTCCTTCTGGAGGGGGGCTCCTTCTGTTCCCCATGGTCCCTGTGTGTGTTGTAAAGTAGTCACCACTCCAAGCTCACTCCCGCAATGGACTACAATCTCATGTTTAGTTTACTCATTTGTATTGAGAGTGAGCTTAGAGCGGTGACTACATTACAACACACACAGGGACCATGGGGAACAAAAGTAGCCCCCCTCCAGAAGGGACAGTGTCCGCACCAATTCAGAGATGATTTGAGGGTCTACAGCCGAGTGATACAGAAGTACTTGAATGTATTTTTAGGATTTAATTCCTTAGTTCAGTGTCACTTCAATGCTTAAATATGACTAAAGGCAGCTACAGCACAAATATTACGGACAAACTCTACACTACACAAGAGCCATGATTCTGACATACCTTTCGTCTTCCTTCTTCCTTCCGATCAAAAGCACATTGCTGCTTGCATTGCTCACAGGTCTGAGGAGGTCCATATTTTTTCTCTGAGTTGGTACAACGCTGGCACTTTGTGCCAATAAATGCTGCTATGATGTTACAGTACTGGCAAGGCTTGGGCTGCAAGAAAACAAAAATTACATCAGCAACCGTTACTCACACCCTTAACAAGCTCTACATGAACCAGAGCAAAAGATTCAAACTGTTTTTGGTTGAACGGAGAACTAAGAGGTAAGTGAAAATCACTCCTCAGAGTTCGAGCCAACGCGTGACAATGAAACTGTCACACGTCGGCTCAATAGATCGGGAAGTGAACACATGCCGTCGCTCACTCACGTCTCAATCATCTCCCTGCAGAGAGTGGTGACTGTCAGTCACGGCTCCCTGCAGGGATCCCCCCCTCCCCCAGCGCTGATTAGAGGAGCGGATGGGTACAACTAGTTGTGCCTCTAGATAGGCAGAGCCAGCTGTCACTCACACAGCTGGGTGGATATCGACAGTAATGTCAGGATCCGTCCCGGCTGCCTCGCTATATACTGAGCTTTGGGTCACAGGAGGATGCTAGTTTATGTCCTCCCGTGACCCTTAAGAGAAACGTGGGGAAAAACACTGACCCCATAGTTCTCGTTTAAGTAATAAAAAAAAATTAAAAATGTACAGTTATACGGTTTCTCACATTGCCTCTAATGTAAGAACAAACTAATGAGAGCTCACCACTCCACCCTAGCCCACTCAAGGCTCACTTCCCAACACGATCTTTAGTAATGCTCAATAGCCACTCATTTGTTATTATGACTATAGAGTGGGCACAATGCATTAATCTGTTTGGTACCATCACTTTACACAGCAGAGCTGGTGCTGTAGAAATGAAGGACGTCTCCAGTGTCTGAAGAAACCTCAGTCTACAGGTTGTGTTGGAATTATGAGCAGAGGAATACTAAGCTGCAAATAAGTCTCCAAGAGAAAAAGTATTTATTGCCAAAAACTTACCGTTCCAAACTGCTTAACATTTTGCGCACATTTCTTGCATATAGTGTTGGTTTTACTGGGAAAACAAAAAAGTACAAGAAATTAGAGTAGGCACATACAGAACAACTGACTTTACAAATTGAAGGAGCATTTATATTGGGTGCTGCGTGTGGTGGAAGGGAGGACATTTCAGCGACTAAGGGCGTTCAGTTTTTCCTTTCTCCTTACAATAACAATACTGATAAAGGGAAAATAGTGACTGAACGATCTCCTTTAGGTCTCATGTCAATAAGCATACTTTTCAAGCTCTGCATTTCCTATGTGAACACCAACGCATGCTTTTGAATGGCAACCACAATGTATGACAATAAAGGACTATTTGGCCTGCTTTGCCTGCAGTTCAGTTGCCTTACCCAATGGACGCCCTGAGCTCAGTCTGGTCTCGACTGCAGCAGTAGCTAAAAGGGTCAAGTGGCTGCCATCTTCATCAAGGAAGTGCTTACCACAGAGCCCATCATTGGCCAACTCTGCCTAAACATCCAACCATGCACTGAAGACCCTTCCCAGATGGTGGCACTGCCATCATAGCTACAGTTAATACCTGCATCCTAACCAAGCCTAGAGCGGGTGTTAAAGTATATGAAACACCGTCTGTGTGTTAGGTGTAAACAAAACAGACTTTAGAAAGGTTACCCTCAATGTTTTCAAAGCTCGCATTATCCTTGATTTACCACTACTATAAAAAGGTACCGGATGGCTCCTAAAATCAAGAGGAAGTTTCCTTTGAAAAGTTAAGTTTTCAGTAAAGAAAACCCGTACAGACAGAAATCTGAGGCTGCTATTGCGGATCTCTCCTTCCGAAAATCCTAACTATCCAACTATCATGTTGATGCTAATGGGTTTGATGTTTCCTGAATTGTCGGCCTGGAGTAAGTATGCAGGTAAAGAGATCCGACTACATACTTGTACCTGGTAAAGTGACAGAGTAATTCCACTTTCCCAGGTGAATTTGGAAAAATGAAATGACCCCCTTCAATCCGGCCCTCTACCCCCCTTGCTATACTTACCTTTGCTCAAACACTCCTTCCCCTCCACCTGTGCACTAGGCGTACTTGCTAGAGCTGGCCATACACCTATAGATTATCTGCAGATTGAAAAAGTGCAAAAAGTGTGTGGATGGAGGAATCTCCCACTGGGCCTAGCTTCAGTATCTTGCTAGTCGGCCCTGCTGGCTGTCAAAACACCTGAACAATCTGATTGGATGCAGGCATTGTTCAGGTATTTTGAGAGCCAGCGGGGCCGACTAGCAAGATACTGAACCTTGGCCCAGTGGCAGATTTCTCCATCCACACAGTTTAGCGTAGATGGAGGAATCTGTTGCACTTTCAGCAATGGCAGCCCCCACATTTCCCCAAATACAGATTTCCTTTATTGTATTGTTAGATTGGGGAAATACCACAATGCCTTGTTTTAGGTACCATCTTAGGCCCCATTCACACTGAGCGACATGAAAATCGCGTGATTTTGAGCGATATTGCGCGGCAAGCGATATTGATAGTCATCGCGCATCTTTTTCCTATTGGGCTGTATGCAATCAGGAGCAATATCGCTCGAAAAAAGGGTCATGTAGGAGCGGCAAGCTACAGCGACGAGCTACAAGCGATATTGAGCGACGAGATGTGAACAGCTCTATTGAAATGGATTGGAGAAGCTACATAGAGCGATATCGCGTGGAAATATGAGTGATATCGCTGCAAAAACCGCTCGATAAATCGCTCAGTGTGAATGGTGCCTTACTCTGCAGGCAATAGAAAAGATGGTTATTCATCACACACACCTCTAAAATATAACCTGCGAGATCAAACTTGGGCTTTAAATGGCTTTTTGATATCCTTGTTAATAGAACAAAAATTCCAGGAACCAGTGAGCAGACGAGCGTTCACAATCCCTGATCCCAATGGAATGGTTGCCAATGGGAAGGATAAATAAGCCACAAAAAGAGACGTTTGGCTGTGCCATACCATCGCGACCACTGAGATGACTTACTTTTCTTGCTGGAACTCTGATCGACAATAGGTGCATTTTACAATTGGATGAGCGATTCGGCACTCCTAAAAATGAATAATATAAAAGGTTAGCGTCACAGCAAATATGACATGGCAAGTAACTAGCAACTAAACCCATCACTATGGTGGGCAGCTTTTCTAGCCGTCTGCTGGCTAGGCATACACAGCTACCCAGTGACCCTTTTTCAGCAGCACAGCCCCCTGCTTTCAAACTGTACTGCACCCCCACGTGCTGCCTGGCAGGGAGCACCATGCAGAATGCTGTGGCAGACTGAAGCACAGCACCTTTTTCTCCCTCTCAGAAGTTTCCTGTCACTTTATCCAGCACTGTTGGCAACTATGGTCATATATGCCAGAGGATGAACACAACTTTAATTCATGAAAAGAGAAATATATTGCAAATGCGTCGTCATCACAAAGAGCCCCAACAATGCTCGTGCAGGGTCCCATCACCGAGGCAGCAATAAAGTGACACTGCCTGACCAGCCATCTAAGGGGCACGCTTGCCACATCACTCACACCTCCTGGAAGCGTCCGCCAAGTTACGGGGCACGCTTCCCACACTCCGTCAACCCGAGGAGCATGCTTCCCACGCGCCGCCAACCCGAGGAGCATGCTTCCCACGTGCCGCCAACCCGAGGAGCATGCTTCCCACGCGCCACCAACCCAAGGAGCATGCTTCCCACGCGCCGCCAACCCGAGGAGCATGCTTCCCACGCGCCTCCAACCCGAGGAGCATGCTTCCCACGCGCCTCCAACCCCAGGAGCACGCTTGCCACTCACCACCAATCTAAGGGGCACGCTTGCCACATCACCCACACCTCCTGGAAGCGTCTGTTGAATGTTTTGTTTAACATCACCTTTTTAGAGTGATTTGTGGGAAAGGGGGGGGCTGTAATAATTGAATGGTT